GGGTTAGTTGATTTTCCAATCACGACTAGCTTTCTTTTTTCTGTCCCACTCATATTGGCAGCTACTAACAGCGTTATACGTTCTTTGGAAAGTTTTCCACCCACACGCTTTTCGCTTCGAAATTTAAGAGTTTTATCTGGCGTCATTTTGTAAAAAATACCAGTTTCGTCAGCATTAAAAATGTCGTCAGCAGAATACTTGTCTGCTAGTTTTGGCCACGTCTTCTCCAGCCAATCGTTAGTGACGTCTTTGTCGACGGGCTTCGCCACTTATCTGTCCATAATTTATACCATGTCTCTGTTTGAACTTCCCCAACCATCCTTCCGACGCGTTAAAATCGATAATGCCAAGCTGTTCAGCAAACTTTTCTGCTTTTAGTTTTACGATAGGTCCAGAGCGTGGTACATTTTTAAGACGTTGCTGTTGAAAAATCGTCTTCAAATTTTGGCTTTCTTATTTTTTACTAGAACTGCCTGCCGCTTCAGCCTTTTTTTTTTCTTTGGACTTTCAAATCGTGGTTACAGTCGACGGTGTAAGTCCGTATCGACGTCCCACATCACTTTTCTTTCTCCCCGTTCTATCTCCCGAATTAAAGCAACTTTATCATCTAGAGATAAAATTTTTCGCTTACTCGCCATGCTCGCCATATTGACTAAGTCAGATTAGAACTGATTGATTGGTGTGCTTTTATACGTACCGATAAAGGCATTAAAATAATTGCTTATTACGAGAAAAACACTTAGGATGACCAGGAAGGTAAGAGACTCTATTAATTACAAGTCGGCCTACTTTCCTTACTTTGTTACCTGATGTGCCCTTTTTTTTATACAGAGAATGAGAAATTCGTTATACACAATGGGTTAATACACATCTTTGGATGGAGACCTAATAGTACAACAAATTTTGTTCGTATTCAGAGTTTTACGTTATACACATTCGCTATAGGGAGTTTTCACTGAATTACTTTTTTACTATTTAATACTTAAATTTTTTTCATTTTCGTTGACTGTCAAATCATGTCAACGTATTTCATTTGTATACTGTGAAGTACGGAAGAAAACCAACAAATAAATAAATCAAATTTAAACTAGGAACGTCGTTTATCACCACGCGAAGTGTTAAATTCCATTCCCCTACTGTCCACTCCATTTCGGCAATCAAACTCGTCGCAATTCTTATTTTTCTTTTCCCATATTTTACCGAAGCGTTGAAGTAACTGGGACACGGGAACGAGCGAAAGAGAATAATAAATTTACCAGACGGAATACACGGTTCGACTGAAACGATTCGGATTCGACAGCATGATATTGCCCGTGTCAAAAGTGTTTCCCGAAGTTTACACTCGGGTTCAAAAAAACGTGACGCGATTGATTTTTGACCCAATTCTAACGGAATTTTTTTAATTCAGAATCAATTCGCTAGCTCTTCTTTTTGTTTGTTGGTGGATGCCGACTTTTCTTTAGAAAATGTAGTGAACCTCCTTCTTGGATTTGCTTAGTGTACTAATGTAAAAAATGATGAGGAACCTAGGAACCTACCTTAACTTACAACCACAACTTGAAAATGCTTTGAGATTTTATGAAATTTCCCAAAAGTCTTAGAAATTTCCAAAAACACCAAAATACCCTGAATTTTTTCGAAAGGAGCCCGAAATACCCCCCAAATTCTCCAGAACTCCCCAAATTGCGCCGAAATTCCTTAGGCTTGTACACTAAAATACGCCATGATGTAACCTTCGATTTGTATCTTAAATACATGCATTTATTATACGCGTATTTGATAACATTTAAATATCACAAATTACAAAGTACAAAACTAATATGCAGCGCTATGAATAAACACCAAAGTTCTACAGTAAATAATAATTTCTAGTCAGGTGCGTAATTATGAAACAAATGTAATAAATAATATAGGTATATCAAATTATTGTCAAAACCAATGTTTAATCCCATTGAAATCCCCATTCTGTTAAGCCATTAGGAAGTATTTGCAATTATTATAGTCGTAAATTTTAGATATTTATTACTGATTAACTGTAAATAACAATTAACAATATATGCGAATGTTTTGTAAGATGGATATTGTCCGTTGTTTGTTAATTATTTATTTCAAAAAATAAAGTAGATTTTTTGCGCAGTTACTTAACAAAATAAATCTTATCCTTACCATTACCCCAGAATATTAACATTTAGCACTAGCAAAAAAAAAAAGACAACCTCCCGGGAGACCGTTCAAACAATCCCTGAGTGAGGAGATGATTTATCCTAATCGCTATTGCAGATTTTACTCAAGATTTGTTCCGACGCTAAAAGACTCAAACTCCATTTGGAACTTGACCCGCTTGCAACCCAGTTGGCTTTAATCCAGAGCTCATGTTTTATTCCTCTGCGTCGGTAGAAACTTTTCTTTTTTTTTTTGCGGCTAATGGAATTCAGTTGCGCATCCACGCTTAATGTTATATTTTAGAGAATTAAGTCTGATCGTTCGAAATACTAGTTTCGCAAATAATAAACTGCGGAATAGAATTGTTAGGCTCGTCTAAGATGGTGGGAAACTTTTTTAAGAAATGCGTTGTCTTTCAGATTTGCAGCGTTTCCGTCGAAAGATATGGAGGTATGATTAGATATCATTTGTACGCAATACTGAACTAGGAACAGTTTGATATCGAATGGTGGTAACAATGAGAGCAAAATGCCAAAATTGTATCAAACAGAGCAAAATTCTATATCCTCCAATTTTTATTATATTTCTCAAAAAAGTTTAGTATCTTGCATATAATTCTGTATATATATATATATATATATATATATATATATATATATATATATATATATATATATATATATATATATATATATATATATATATATATATATATATATATATATATATATATATATATATATATATATATATATATATATATATATATATATCACTTGCACGCAATACTGGGCTAAGAACAGTTTGATATCGCATGGTGGTAACAATGAGTGGAAAATGCTAAAATTGTATCAAACAGAGCAACATTCTATATCCTCCTATTTTTATACTATTTCTCAAAAAAGTTTAGTATCTTGCATATAATTCAAAAATAACATAATATTCAACGCACAAAAGCAGATAGTGAATATTGTTTTTGGAACTGCCTTACCACATCAGAAAAATTCGCCTAAAAAAGGTTATCAGCTTCATTAAGCTTTTTTGATAGTTTAGATTGCTGAAAAATGGGACGAATTTGAAAACGGATAAAAGTTATATATATATATATATATATATATATATATATATATATATATATATATATATATATATATATATATATATATATATATATATATATATATATATATATATATATATATATATATATATATATATATATATATATATATATATATATATATATATATATATATATATATATATATAATTATATATATATATATATATATATATATATATATATATATATATTTATGTTTAGCTTTTGGTTCTTGGGTTATAGGTCTTTGTATTAAAAGCGATTAAAATTTTTTTTGTCCATATATTGACGTTTCGGTCTTCTATGACCTTCTTCAGAAAGGGGTACAGTCAAAAAGAGACAAACACAAATCTTAAAATTGAAGAGGTAGCATCATATGAAAGTTTATACTTTAAAAGCGTTTGGTTTTGTCATAGTGCCCTTGATAAAAGATAAAAGTCCAACAAAAAATGATTTGTATACGGCACTCACACACATAATACACACAAATTTAACGAAACAGTTAAAATATATATAAGAGTTTAAAATAATAATAATAATAATAATACCGATACGCGAGGTTTGCTCGCGTCGACGTTACTGTGTTTGTCTCTTTTTGACTGTACCCCTTTCTGAAGAAGGTCATAGAAGACCGAAACGTCAATATATGGACAAAAAAAATTTTAATCGCTTTTAATACAAAGACCTATAACCCAAGAACCAAAAGCTAAACATAAATATAGAGAAGGTCTAAGAAAAAACAAAATATTCGCTCGTTGAACTCCGACTGGAATCCTGCATCCGACTGGAATCCTGCAGACGTTTCGCCAAAATCTCACTTGGCATCTTCAATGCTCGCGCTCCGAAAACACTTCGGACACTGGGGTTATCGGCGGTGCGTGCGGTATTTATACTCTGCGCCGGAGATGGTAACGGTGCTGGCACTTGTTACATAATATGCTATTTTAAAATACCTAATTACCCACCGATCTAGCGTGCGGGAAGCGTCACTTTACCACGTCAGTTTCGTTTCCTATGAATCCGAGCCACTTCGGACATTTCGCTTTGAATTTTGACTTTTATCAATTATGACTGTCATGTCAGTGAATCTATTCGTGTTGTTTTGCGAAAATGGACCCAAAAACTAACGGTCGTAGCAAAAGTATACTACGGCAAAATTTTTAATTCACTCGTTTATTAAAAACTCGCTCCGCTCGTGTCAAATCAACTAGTGAGTCAAATGCCGTTTACCGCACTTGTTGCATAATATACTATTACCACCGGGTTTGCATATGCAGGCAACAATTTTACTAACGAAATTCAAATTAGTAGCATAGTATAGTATCGGTTCTAAGGTACTTTCGGAAATTTTTAAAATTTGATTGACAGAGTAAATAGTTCAGAAATGTAGACGTTAGAAAAAGGCCCTTGGAAGCAAAATATTAAATAATAATATACAACGAGGACCAAAAGTTCCGGTGTTAAAAACTACTTGGTAAAAACGCTGAAAAACAACGAACTCTTTAGCAAATATAACATTTTTTTGACCCTCATTCCATTTTAGCGGAATTCTCATTTAAGGTATATCATATCATAAATATATTTTTGAATATAACACCTTGTAGAACACATTTTAGAAGACTCGCAGCCTTTAAGCTTCACTTTATAAATATTTTCTTTTAGTAAAGCAAATTGTTGACAAAATGAAGGCGTTCGGAATCGACGCCGCTACTGATAACTTTGACGATTGTTTCAGGAAAAGGTATACCGGAAATCAACGTTGTCGTACCCCCTTCGCATATTGCGCTAAGTGGAGATCTTAATATAAGCATCGGATCGTCGTCATTCTTGCCTCTGGTCGTTCAGTTGTCGAGACTTGAGGGGAATAAAGCTCAGCCCTTGACGACATTTCCCGTTTATCCCGAAGCCGGCGCGCTGAAGAGAAACTTAACGGTGGCTAAAATACAATGTGGATACTTCTCCAAGGGCGGCCAGTATTATATTCAGATCAAGAGGCAACCTATATTGGGTGAGTAGCTGTTGTTATAATTTTGTTTTATATCTGCATGTCGATGAGAAGTTGAAATAAACATTTGTGGAGAACGAGTAGTAGGATTGTTCAGAAAGTTTGCTCATTTACACGATGTTTGAAATGGGATCCCCTATATATTAGTATATTTTCCGCTTCAACATAGCTTTAGCAGTTTGGGAGAAAACATAGCTCTAAGAAAATGATTGTGTGTAAACTCCTAGAAAGCTGAAGTTTTTGGCGTAGTTTACCAAGGGCACATATATTGCTTTGTGTAGACAAGTGTGTTCCTTTGGTATACAGGGGGGTTTTTAAATGATAAAAAAATTCCCAAAGTATTTTTTGATGGAACACGTTGTATTTAATAGACTATTCCACTATACAGGGTGTTCGGAAATTGAGTTCGGAAACTTGGAGGAAAGATTCAACCTGGTAAAAAAATGTTAGTAAGTCATGTAACATAAATTCGAAATCGTAATATTTTCCGAGTTATGGCTTTTTAATTTTATTTTTAACTCAGTTTGCTGAATTCTAGACGGAATAAGCTGGTATTTTACACACAACCCTGACTTAGTAAAAGTAGTAGTTACAAAATAAAAGTGTTTCAGGAATCTGTCATTAGAGGGCACTTTACCTAGAATATTTTTTTTTATTTTCCCTGTATTTTACTTATTTAGACTGATATTCCAAAATAGAACAGATTGCCATAAGTAGAATCACAAATCATCAAAAATTGTCACTCTTGTTTTAAGTCGATATGTGTTATCGTTTAGCCACAAACCGATTTTTTATTCTCTCCTCGAATTTTACCTGTGATTTTAGCGAACAGGACTTGATGAAATTTGAAGAAGTCATTGTCACAAATACTGAATATCGCGAAGAGCAAATGCTTTATATCGAGGCTTATCCCAATAAAAACGTTCCATCTGGTAAGACGTTCGTCAACATACACTGAATACTTGGTCAAACAAGATCATTCAAACCCTATAATATGAATAAAGGGAGACCAAGGTATAAAAGAACCGCTGCAAGAGAAGAAAGAATACTTCAAAACTTGCTGATCAGGCAAGAATTGCTTGCTTTACAGTTTGAGAAGTTTAGAATGGAAATAATCTTCGGCCCTTTTTTGTTCAAAGGGTTCAACCACTGTATGAGAGTAATGAGCAATCGAGAGTAATTTTATGCGTACAAATTTTAGGAAAAATTCAAAATTACCCGGAATTCTCAAATCGCATTTTGTTCACTGACAAGGCTGCATTCAGTCTTGATGGCATTGTAAATTTTCGAAATATGCGTCAGTGGAAAAACCCACATTTAACCCACAGCTAAAATCCCACATGCACAAATCGAGGGAAAGCATCAGCTCCGGTTTTCCTTAAATGTATGGGCGGGGATTATAGGAGATAATCATATAGAACATGATTTATTTAACGGAACTCTTAATCGGGAAAAGTATTTGCAATTTCTCCGAGAACACCTACCACCTTTGTTGGAAGAGGTACTCTTGCAGTGGGCACAAAACATGTGGTTGATGTAAGATGGCGCTCCACCCAATTTTACATTGGCTGTATTTAAATCAGGCATTTGAACATCGATGGATAGGTCAAAAGGCGGAACTCTAGTTGGGCCCCCCCACTCAACAGATCTTAATCCAATGGACTCAATTTTTTGGAGACACTTAAAGTCTATAGTGTATGAAACACCTATAACAGATATCAATGATCTACGACAAAAAACAATAAATGGTGGCGAAATCATTAGAAATAAGCTAGGCGTATTTTTTAAAATGAATGAACGGTGGGTATTTTGAAAATTAATTGTAATTAGCGTTGTATACTGTTTAATTCCAGATTATTAATAATTTCTTATTTTCGAAAATGTAAAATGTATTTATGTTACTTTAATTAAATATGTTATTGCATTGAATTATGCCATTTCCTTACTTTTTTGAAAAATTTGGTGCACGTCGCTTGCAGGTTAATAATACATATCGCGATAACCAGTATCGCCTTTATATAAATTAGAAGTGCGGGGTATTCGAGTCGAAAATAAAAAACTCGATTTGTGGCTAAACGAAACACTCATCGACTCAAAACAAGAGTAACAATTTTTGAGGATTTGTGATTCCGCTGAACGCAAGCTATTCTATTTTGCAATATCCAGTATGAATAAACAAAATACGGGCAAAATAAAAAAATGTTCTAGGAAATGGGCCCTCAGCGACAGATTTTCGAAACACTTTTATTTTGTAACAACGACTTTTACTAGATCGGGGCTGTGTAAAATACTGCAAAATATTACCATTTCGAATTTTTGGTACACTTAAAACCATTATTTTACCACGTTGTATGTTTATGCAATGTAATAACGTAATCTGTAAATATGTAATAATATAATGTTTATTTAAGGGGCTACAGCCTCCAATAGAACTCTGAAGGTTTTTTTGTGCAGAATTTTAATATATTGTGAATCAATTGCAAAACTGATTTTCAAATTTTGTGGTAAGTGCCTACTGCCAAGTTCTTTTTTGTTGGTTTTACTGGTGACATTATTTCGCAATTATTCTAGTAATTATAACTTGTTATTTAATTATCAATTAGAGAAAATTTTAAGATAGCTGGAAACTCGAATATATTTCAGGAAAAAACTCGACGTCGGACTGGTCTGATTCGGACGTAATCGTCCGCAGTCTGGATGTCCGGTGGCCGATGCCCCAGCTCTCCCTCACCCCCGAACACGTCCAGACTTATCCAGAGAGTCCGGTGACGGCCATATTGACATTCCCCGAAGTAGTATGCCCTCCGGTCGTGGGAACCGCGCCGTCTGCCATACCGGAATTTTGGCTAGAGCTCCATTACTGTGGGCATTCCCTGCTTACCTGTGATAATACCGTGGATTCCGAGCGGGCCGCCAACAAAACCGACCATCAGGTTACGAATTTTAACCGTTGCACTTTATTTTCATTTTTATTGATTTATTTATAAATGACCTCAAAAACAGTAACAATGTTGGTGCTGACACCGATGCTTAACAAAATAACAATTTACCATTTCTTACGATATGGTTCAATTTTTATATGATAATAATATTTATAATATTATTAAAGATTTGAATGCTTCCATGCAGATTAAATTTGTTGTGCAGTAAATTAATTTATGTTGCTCGCATTCTTCTATTTGATTAGATTTTAGACGCTTGGGTCAGTTTTTATATACCTTTTAGCAGGTGCCCGACGGTCCAGTAAAAAAGAGGATTTGATTTCTTAATTCGGAGCCCTCTGAAATTTGTTATTAGATGATGTTCAGCAGTATTTTTCCAGCATGCAATTCAGTATCTAATGCGATTGATTCATTGTGAATGATTCCAATACAGAAAATATTGTATCATATATTAGCATTTTTTAACTTTTTTGAGTTAATGAGTCATCACTACTTATTTTGCGCCTGAGTTATTTTACATGCGGATTTGCCACTTTGCTTACTTAACATAGATACAGAGTTTTTTTTACATCTATGCTAACCCATTGTAACACAATTTCTTCAGTTCAGTTTTTTTTCTAAAATTTCTAATTTTTTTTTTGCGGAAATAATATTAAACCTGTTTTTCTTAATTCAAGTCTTAAACCAGGTCTGGAAATAAAATTAGAAAAAGGTGCAAATTGCAAAAAAATAAAAATAATTAAAATTTAATTTCTTTAATGTGTAGTTTATTGTATTCATTCCTGTAAATATCTCTACATCTTCTTTCCACTCTAATTTATTTAAAAAAATGTTTCTAAAATATTTATTTAAAGTTAAATACATTTAAGAAATTAATTAAAATTATTAATTTATGCTTAGCTTATCAAAACACAGTCGTTGACAGCATTTTTCGGACATTCTTTTTTTTAATTTCTTTGCTTCTTCTGAAACTTTTTTTTTCTCGAAATTGATTTGATTATATATCTTATTTTGCGTACTTTTCATCAAACAAATCTCAGTTTATTAACGTGTAGTTCTTATTTCATATCGTGTACACACAGATTGCTCATTAAATACGCAACAAAATACAATTTTGAAAATTATAATATTAAACATATTTTTCTTAATCCAGGACTTGAAAAGTATCTGGAATTTATTTTATACAAAATATCGTGTATACACAGATTGCTCATTAAATATGAAAGGAAATAAAATTTTGAAAATTATAATATCCAGACGTTGAAAAATGTCTGCAATTAATTTTATTGCAATGAAATTTCAACAAAATTATAACTAAAAAATTCAATTATGAGCAGTTTGTATTCATATCTGTGAACTTCCTACAATACAATGGCATAAAAAAGCACCCTGACACTAACAATATTGGGAAATGCAAATTTTCCTCTCCTTAAATCTAGTTAATTAATTACCTCTGATTTTTCGTACTAAACAGGAATTCGTTTTCAGGTGTTGTACTCTGAACAAGTACGCGGATTGCCTGGACGGAGCGTATTCATTTTGAGATGCGAGCTATTCGGCAGAGCTGGCCACTACGCCCTGATGCTGAGACCCACGAACCTGGACCCGGTCCTGCCTCGCACAGCGGCTTACGTGAAGGTAGCAACAATTTTTCAATCACAATAATCGATTATAACGTAAATCTGTGAACCGTAAATTCGTTTTATTAAAAAAATGGCGAAATCCAATTATCTGTTTTTTACGCAAACAAATTTGTTGTTTTCATCAGATTAATTTGTTTAAATAAGTGGTTTTGAAACGATTTTTTTCAGGAGGAATGAGAATTTATAGAAATTTACTAATAAAGAGCTAAAGAGCTAAAAAAAAAATAATAAATTAAAAAGGCAATTGACGACTTGAATTACTTTTTCTATGGCTACTTTAGTAAAAATGAAAATAAAAGTGCAAATCAGTTGAAAACCTTTACTTCAAAAGGAATTTGAAGTAATTCCTTGTTTATTAAAACGCACCATGTCAGAAGATAACACGATTTTTAGAAACTTGTTTTATTGCAATTTAAAGATAAAGATCTCGATATTTCCACATTGCTTATTAATAATTGGACAATAATTCAGTAATTTAATAATTTAATATCTTTGAATAGCTCTCAGTAATTAACTGCTCTACCAACGGGAATCTAACAGCTTCGAAATTTTTCATAAAAAAAGGAAACTTTTTTCAATTTTAGGAAGTCGTGAGCAGTGAATATTGTAAATGTAGCAGAAAAACGTTTCCCTACAATTTTCCGATCTGTCTCTCGGTCGGAAAGTGCGGGTTCATTTCATCGGAACGATAATGGCGCTTTTTTCGCCATTCGGCGTCTCCGCAAATTACGCTCTAATTCCAGATAATCTCGATAGGTCGCGCGTCGCAAATAAAAGGCAAAAATCTTATATTAGTTCCTCCCGACGGACTTGGAACTTCGCAAAGAAATACTTTAATAACTTCCTTCGGATCCACTGGGCTCCTCTCTTAAGAGAAATGATTAATGAACTTAAGCCGACAAATAGATCTCCAACTATGAAGTTTTGTTTAATTAATAGGAGCCTGGAAAATATTTGGAAAGTTCCTCCGGAAGGGCTCGAACGCTATCGCCGCCTTCTCGGCTGCTTTAAGTAGTTGTCCGAAAGTTAGGAAATATTGTAGGACTAGGATTATCATTAAACAACACTCTTGGTGCATAATTTGTAGGGAGCTTTACTGGATTGTCTTGCTTTTGTGTTTTAATTGAAAAGGCCAAACGAGAAATCGTAGAACTTGCTGGACATGAAAACGAATTTGGAAAACACTCGTAAAAATAAGAGATTATAAATTTAGATAAGTATTTCAAAAGTTTCGATTGGTTAAAGTAATTATGTAAAATAAAATAATGAATAATAGTTTTGATATTATACATTATTTCAATTTCAGAAATTATATTTTATTAAATAACTTTTCAAGTGGGTATCTATTACATTAATGCATTATAAATTTAATATGATGGATAGAATAAAGTTCGAACCAAAATTTATGCAATATTATAGACGGGTAGCATCAACAGAAGATATAAAAAGTTTATGTTTTATTTTCTTCTGTTTTCATTTTTGCTTTCATTGAACAATTATGTAAGTATTTATTAATTATCTTTATTAACTTATCATGGACAGCAGCAGATGATCAGCGTCAGCAGTGGCTTTTTTTAAAAGAAAACTAGCTGAAGAAAGAGTTACAGTCCATGTACAAAAAATGAGTGGTGGAAGCTGACTTAATTTCAACAGTGCCTTTATATATTTTCACCAAACTTAAATTTTCAAAGAAAAAATTCACAGGACTTACTGACTAGAAAAACAATTCTCGGACAATTTATCTACTTGTAATCAAAAAATTGGAATTTGTGCTCTTTAGGTTTTGGTTTTAATACATTGTGGGACAATTTGTATTTTTCATGGATTTATGAAACAATTTTTCGCATGCAATTTCGATTAAAATTATTACTTATTAAATGCTTCTTTTCAAAATAGAATGTTAAAAACCCTGTAAAACACAGGAAGCAGACTTATGAGAATTGGAAGAAAATTGAAAAAAAAAGGGAAATTTTTAAAAGTGTTAGATTCATTTCAATCCTTCAATTCACTTTAAATGTATGTTGATAAAAAGAATAATTATTTTTATTTTCAAGAAAAACATGGCACTGTGCCGATACGTGTTGATTAGCTATTTAGATTAGTTAAATCATTCATTAAAATGCAGGGGCGGTAGAACGAATATGTTCTGAAATAAAATTATCCTTATCGAGATATTTATTTAAGCGTAATTTAATACATTTTTGAGAAGTTACTGTTTATAATTTTCCGTTATTTTTTCTCTCCAGTTTTATGGATTGGCGTGATAATTGCATTTTTAAACCATTCTGGATATCTTCCGGATAGAATAAGATAGAATAAGATGGTGGTTGTTCTTGGGATTCCATCCCAACCAGGTGCGGAATCTTGGGTTAGGCTATTTATTTCAATTATCATTTCATTTTCTATAATTGATAGGAGAAACATTGATTTATTTAAATTAAAATTATCTGCCTCAAATTTAAAATGTAGCTTAGTCATTTTACTTGCCCTTTTGGCACCTACTTCACTTAAATATTTATTAAATGTTTCGGCCACTTCCACATCTGACCATATTGATCAATTACTGACACAATGCTGTTCCAACTAACTAACTAAAACAAACCAAAACTTTTGTAAATAGTAATTATTTTCCGTTATCCTTATCAAAACAGTCATCCGTCTCTTAAAGTTTTTGTATATTTGTTCATCTTCATTGTTCATTTAATTTATTAGATCTTGCGTTATCCAAGGCTTTTCTTAGATATCTATTTAGCTTTCCTTCGTTTAATTTAGAATAGAATTTATCTTTTTCTTTATTTAAGTTTGCTTGTAATTTTAGTCTTCTATACCTTTTTTTTTTCAGTGGAAAACTTGAGATTGTAATAGGACCTCCCAACTTTCTTTTCTGAGGTATCTATATAGCTTTCCTTCGTTTAATTTAGGAGGCGCGATGCTTTTCCAAGTTGCTAAGTAGAAAATTATCTAAACTTGAAGATATGTATTCTGTTTGGAACGCTTGTCTGTATATCTATTATAATGAGGGGTGTGGAATTGACCGAAATTGTTTTAAAAATACCATTTAGTTTATATTTACTTATTTACATTATGCGTTCAGTCGCCGTCGCTTCGTTTTGGGAACGAAATGGACATTATTATTGGGATTCCTTGAATCGCTGAGTTAAGTAAATTGGTAAATCGGACATCACAAACGCATAACAATTTATTATAAAATACATATCATTGTTAAATAATGATACATAACACTCTACAATTGCAAGATTTAATTTAAAAGGAGTGGTCAATTGACCGGTAAATTGACCAGACTCAAAACTATTGAAACTAGAAAATCCGAATTGTTGCAAGCAATTGAAATAATTACCTTTAATTGCTTTGACTTTAAAACGTCCCATGAAAATATTTATACTTTTACTTTTCTTGGTAATTTTTCTGGAAAAAGGTGTTCTAGATCCTAAACAAAGATTTGTTTTTCAAATGAAGGTGACTTGTAGTTGCCTGTTGTTCCAATATTTATGCTATTTTTACATAAAACTATGAAAAATGCGATTATTTTAAATAAAAATAAAACAGTGAAGTGCTGATTATCTTTATGCGATACCTCCTACCTTAATAAAATTTACGACGAAACGAAGCAGCCAAGTGGGCGAACAACGGCGTGAAAAATGGTTCAATTTATAAACCGTTGCCAATAAAATATGTAGCTTAAAGTTGATACGCAAGTGAAATAGCGTGGTAAATAACGCGGAAGGCCCGAGCAACTGTGTAGCGATGTCGATACTTTGGAAAGAGCGATAGCCCGGTGTGGAAAACTCCTCGTATTTTGAATACATATCCTGCAACGAGGCGTAATTATTTTTCCAGGCGGAATGGAGCGAGCAGTTTGTCTTCAATGTTCACGCCCGTTCCATATTCCCGTGCGATCCCCACGGCAATGGGATCACAGTTCTCTTTCAATACCCATCGTGTATACTGGCGATAGGTGATCGCGTCCGAATCTACGGCCGATTGAGGGCGAATGTTGCCTCTCTGTCGCCACCCACAACCCTGGAATACATCACCGAACAGAAGATTAATAGGGGCCAGCACAGTTTGCATTTCGACTGCGAAATCTTCACCGAACACTACGTCGAGTACTGCTTTGTCTACGTGAGTCAGTCGATTAGCGGAGCTGTAGATGATGTCCGGATTGATTGTGTACCTACGTTGCCCGTTACAGGTGAGGAAAGTTCCTCAACACTATGTAGCTTCACTGCTTTTAACAAAAACTACTGACAGATTGGTGGTACCAAGTTTCAAAATTTATTAGAAAGTCGTAAACACAACAGTTGTAAATGTTGTTAGGAGGTACCGTGCGTTCAATTTATCTTGATAACATTTTAATTAGCTTTAATTTTTTGTTTTTAGAGATATCAGGGTAAATAAAAAAAAAACAAAATATAGGGTTAGCAGCCAAGTCTTTTTCCAAGTGGCGTATAAAACAAAACACTATCAATTTTCTGACATATTAGCCTACATCATATTTTTCTAAATGGAACAAATATCTCTAAAAACAAAAAAGTTACAGCCAATTAAATTGTTATCAAGATAAATTGAACGCACTGTAGAATTTAAAATTGTTTTAAAGTAAAAAGGATGGCTAAAAAATACATTTAATTAAATACATTTTATTAAATGGAACATCCTATTTTGAAATTTTAAAATCCTTTAACTTTTTTATTAATAATAATAATAGTGTTTGAATTTTTTTTCGTAGATAACAGATGACAGAATTTGAAGTAGATGCTACAGGGTGTTCAAAATAAACGATTATATTTGGATCATACAAAAGTATTTTATATCCTTTGCGATTTATTTTAACTTTTTCAGTATTTTACTCTTCTTTCTTCCTAAAACTATTGTTACAGCATTAGTTGGCCTTGACTAAGTGACAATGTCAAATTTTTATCTGACAGCCGAGTAATTGTTATGATTTATATACCGGGTGAGTCAGAAAAAATATGTTGTGAGTATATTTTGTGAGTATATCAACTAAACAGTGTTAAATGGGACGGTTTGATGCTGGTGGTAGTGTTGAATATGAAAAACTGAAATTGGTAAACCGGAATGAAGAAACGTTTGGAAACTTTACTTCAAGTTCAAGATAATCCCCAGGCCCGCAGCTGTCACGTAGCTGGCTTATGTGATACATCCCAGTCTACTTCAAAATACAAATATTATCCCTTCCATATGGAACTGACCCAAGAACTTATAGACTGTGATGCACGGTTAAAAATTTAGCATTAGATAATGAGGTTAATCGTCATAACATACATTATTATTCAACAGTAAATCCGTTCGGGTTACAACAAGTGCAAAACCAAAACCACTACCTTATGTGTGGTGTGGAATAAAACACCTTAACGTTATTGGGCCACATTCTTTTAATCGAACCACTCAAAAGGGCCTAGATATTTAAACTTTTTGCAGAGACCTTAACTTCAACATGACATTGATAACATTAAGTTCCAATAAATATGGTCTCAGCAAGATAGGTTTCGATATGTATTATTATTAACAAAAAAATTGAAGACTGTCAAAACGAATCCAAAACAAAATTTGAAAATAGGGTGTTCGGTTTAAAAAAACGTATTTTTCGTCACTCGTTTTTGGGCCATTCTGTTTACTTTAAAATAATTTTAAATTGTGAACCCTAATAATCCTTACAGTACAGTGTTGCTTCCTTTCTGGGACCACCGTTATGTTGGTCCAAGTGATCGACAGAATATTAACTAATTGTGGGATTTTTAGACCAGGAGAGCGGTGGTTGGGGACGGTGGAGTGAATGGACGGCGTGTTCGAGCACCTGCATTGGAGGAATCCGAACCCGGTACAGGTTCTGCGATTCACCACCTCCACGATACGGGGCAAAATTCTGCGAGGTAAGTGAAACAACCATTCTGTATATTTAAGTCGTTTTAATTCAGTCTTGAGAGCGTCACTCGTTCGTTTTACGAACTACGATGGACTTCTTCTTCTCAATCACCATGCCCAAAGATTTTTTTATCGTGGCTCTCCTGGCACCGGTCGCTGAAGCTTTTCCAACCACGCTCTTCTGTCTATCACTCTTTGAAGCTCTCCTGGATAAATCTTCTTCGGAAGACTTATCGTAATCAGCGAATGGATCGAATTCTTTACTTTCGCCATCCGTTTCTTCCTCTTCTATAATTGACTCGCGAAAGAACAGAACACTTTCTTTCTCTGCAACCTCTACTTCGTCATCGGACATATCCTCTTCGTGTTCTAGTTCCAAGTCAGATCTTGCGGCTTGACTTTTTTTCCTACTAAGCCGGGTCGCGCCACCGTAGTTCTCTAAACTGCTACCGGTTTGAGCCTCCATATTTCTTTTAGTGATTACACTTGGACGAATGTCGACAGGTTTTGGTACGAAACCCAGATCTCCAACAGCGTAAGTGGCTTCCACCGAAGGAACGGTCTCTAAAGATGGTTTTTTAACTTTCTGTTCTTGAGCTTTGTCCAGGAGAACGAACAAGGTATTGAGGAGATTTTCCCGTTTCGTCGCCCTCAAGGAAACGTCACTTTCTGATTTTATGGTGAGGGCTTCCTTAATACAGCTCACACCTTCCATGAGTACGTCACTTAACCTATTGTTCTCCTCTTGAAGGTACATACTGTCTGTCTTTAAGGAGACGTTCTCACTTTTGACGTTGTGCAAGTTTTGTTCAAGAAGTTTTATTTTGTATTCCAAGGAAGCGATCTTTTGTGTCCATTTCCGGGTTGCATTGCGAGACTCGCGCACTTCTTCTTCCAGGTGTTTGAACTTGTTCAAATCCTTCATCAAATCGCGGTGCTCGTCGGTGAGTCTCTCGATGACTTTTTGCTGAACCCTCACCTTCATGAGAGCTTTCTTCTTTTCCTCATCGTGGAGCGTCGCCTCTTGACGCAAAGTCTTGTCGCGGGCTTTGATGACTTGATAATCCTTGTAAAGCTTTTGATGCGCCACCAGCATCGAATCTAATTCGTTGTTCACCGCTATGTTTTCACGAATCACCTTATGTGTCGTGGCAGCTATTCTCAGTTCAGACGCGTCATGAAACTCAGTGGATAGCTGCAGGAGACGCGCTTCCATGTCTTTTTTGAGTTTGTCTTTGCTAATGATGAATTTCCTTTCGATTTCGTAAAGCTCTCTGGTGTGCCGTTTCTCTTGAGTCTGCATTTGCTCCTCTTGGTTCTCGAATTTCTTCATCAGCTCTTCGCGTTGCGATCGGAACTCCTCCAGCGAATTCAGCTTGCCTTAAACAACACGTTTTGCATAATTTTAGGATAAAAATGTAACTCACCTTCGAGCAACTTATTTTCGGAGGTCAGTTGTTCGTGCATTTGCTTGTATTCCTTCTCCAAATCTACAATTTTCGCCTCGTATTTTTCTGCATCGTGCCGTTTGGCTTCCTGAAGCCCGATTATCCTTTCTTCCAGTTCATTTATCTCGAACACCTTCTCTTGGAGTATGCGTTTTAAATACGCAATAACGTCTGCCCGATCTTCATCCAAGGTTTGTTTCTCCCGGTCCAGCAATTCGTTTCTTTCTTCAAGTTCTTGCGTCAAGCTTCGAAGTCTGGCCAGTTTCCGGTTCAAGTCCGCTATCGTTAGCTCGTAGAACGTCTTGTCTACTTCCGTGAGCGCGTTCGGGTCATCCTCTACCGTTTTCTTCTTTTTGCCTTTGCCTTTTTTTCCTTTTTTGGCCATTTCTTTTGAGCTCGACTTTCACACACGCGGACGCTTCAGATTTTGATTTGTTTGGTTTCCAAGGTGATGATTATTGATTATTTCCTTGAACCCGCTTTCCTACTGGCCGAGAGTCTGCAGTCACAGGCTAGCGCTATTTAACATAATTATATGATTTCACAGTAGTCGGGAGTGCAAAAAGAAACTTAAATAGATATTCTTAAAGCTAATAGAAAGTATTCAAAGAAAATTACTTAATGACGCAAGAAAAATAAATGAGTATCTTCCTGTTGACAAAAACACTTGAGCTTGAGAAGTGTTTTGATCTAAAATATTCCATAGAAAATGTTAGCCTGATGCATACTTGACAACTCATTCAATAACATTGTTAAAAAATTACATCTGAGCAATTTGTGCGTTAGTTTCATGCTTGGAGTAGTATCTTTCTATTACACGTAAATTTCAGGTTTCTAAATAGCTTTCTTTGATTTGATGAAGCTATTATAAATAAAAGCTATTGATTTCTGGTTGCTAAAGTTGTATGTAATATAAAACCCTGATGTCTTAGAATCTGCTTCGCCCCCCTCAAACAATATATAAGCGAGTAAAATGCGAGCCAGTTTCAGTGAAGCTCTGAACAAGCCAAACTTTCGACTTAACAAAACCCAACGAAGGAGGAATCCAGAAGTTTTGTAAAATGTGTCTTAGAATCCTTTTTACAATATATTCAATAGATGTGCTTCAAATGTTAACTGTGGGTCCAGAATGATGTCTAAATCTTTAAACTTTTCCTTTTCTTTGTTTAATTCTAAAATGTCAGTGATTTTAAGAGTAAACAGTAAACCTATCGAAATCATTCTGGAGCTTCGGTTAAGAATGGATTTCTTTTCTTACTTTTAAGTCATCTAAAAACAAGTGGCATATCATCGATAAAAATATTAATCCGTGAAGGCCCAAAGCGGGGGACTCCAGACTTTACACTCATATAAACCAAAATAATAAAGGTATGGTCTGTCCATAGACATAAGTAAGTGACTAATTGCTCTTGAATGGGATTATCCCCGGGTGGTCATTAACATACATTGCAACAAGATTATTACCTAAAGTTTCTGAATTTAAATTCAGGTACAATTGTGGCCCGTAATAGAAAATAATTTTATACCTACCTGTGTTTAATATTCTTTGGTTTGGTATACTACTTAGTTTAAGTTTATTAGTAATCATTCTTATTTCGTGTGTAATACAGCGTGTGTTGAATCGTGTGCGAATTATGCAAAATATGTGCGAGTCTAGTGTATCTCAGGAGATGCTCCCGCCCAAATGTAGAAAACACTATTCTATTGAGACTAAGGAAGTTATAAACAATGTTTATTTGACTCTCATTGAAAATGGTGCCAGCAAGCAAGCGTCTTTAGGCCACATTGACGAAAATTCCAACATCAACTGAATGGAAAATTGCGAATAATCTCATTTCAGCTAGAAAAGAAAGAAGCGATGCTGACATTTTCTCGAGTGTAGATGAAAGTGATCAAGATATAATACGGCGTAAAATTTACCAGTTATACGAGGAACAAAGCGTGCCTAAATTAGATATCATAATTAGGAGGCTTGAAAAATATAAAACCGGTGTTAAATGTGGCAGAACTACCTTATGGAGGTGTATTCAACACATAGGTTTTTGATTTAAAAAAATTGAGAAAATACAAGTTTTTGAATGAAATCTTTTAGAATTCAGAAATGGCGACTGGAATATCTAGAAAAAATTAGGATTTACAGAGAACAACAAAGGACAATTATTTACTTGGATGAAACCTGGTTCGACACTTATGATATCCCGGAAAAGGGTTGGATTGACTCAAGTGATAAGTGTAAAACAAACGCGCCATCAAAAAGAGGTAAAAGAATAAATATTTTGCATGCTGGCTCTAAAGATGCTTGGATTCCAAATGGACTTCTTCTATCTGCGAAAAATATTAAAGATTCTTCTCTAGATTACCATGAAGACACCACCGCTGATTTATTTGAAAGTTGGTTTAAAAACAAACTAGTTCCAAACATTCCTCCTATTTGACTAAAATCCCTTCCTCATGTGACACAATAGCAACAATCCAAAACTACATGTATAATAACGACATTTATTTTCACGAAGATTATACCAAAAAGCAATTAATTGAGGTTCTACAAAGCTTGAACCTACAAAAGGAATGCGCCTGTGATAATTATGCAAAAAATCTAGGGCCTACAGTTTTAAGGCCCACTATATATTTAATCCCATTGAACATGTTTGGCACCAACTGAAATCTGCCATTCGTCGTAACAATATTTTTCCCCGTGTTAACTCCAATGTCCTCAAACTTACAGAAACCGAAGTTTTTAACATCCCCCCACAAAGTTGGGCAAATTCTGAAGAACAATCGTACATCCATATTGCAAATGATAATTAGAACTGGCGATGATAGCAATAGTAATCCTGTTTGTCATTTGTAATTTTATTTTAGATTTAAACACAAATACATACATAAATAAATAAATATTGTTTAGTATCTCTCCTAACAAAACCCCAAATAATAAAATTCTAAGCAACGTACGGACCTGTTTGGCCATATTTCATTCTTACAGCTTGCGTGGGTCTTTCCTTAATTCGTATCAGTTAGTCACTTTCTTATATCTATGAACAGACTTTAATTATTTTATCAAGTAGTATACATAAAATATTGTAGTTCAAAGAACGGTTTTCGTTTTTACTATTTATGGGTGGCGGTTCAAAATCTTTGTCTCTGTAAGTTACATATGTAAAAACGTTTTTGTCGTGCACTTGTCTGATTCAATTTGGATTACATTATTGGATTTTGTTTTATCTTTTAGGGTGATGCCGTGGAAACGGAAAAATGCGGGGTAGGGCTCGGCTCCGGTTGGGAATGTTTTTACAGCGGCACCGTATCCGGAAACGACGTCATGGCGGCACAAATGCGCGAAGTAACCGAGGAGGTGTCTCCGTATTGCAGATGTGGATGCGTCGTTCACTTGGGGGAGGCCAAACGCAGAAGATTTCTGACCGTGTCTTCGCAGAGCTGTCCGGGGAGGACGTTTTGGTTAATAGAGGTAAGTCTTAGCTATTCGGTATTTGAAATTGCATACGTATGGTAACAAGAAGTTGGAAACTCTGTTTTACCAATGCTAATAAAATCTGATGATGAACAATGTTGATGATAATAGGCTACTTGCACCTATTTTTTTTTGCTAATTTCTGATAAATTAACATGTAATAGCAATTTTCATAAAGTTATCTGGCCAGATTTTAACAAAAACTTTATGAATAATTGTTTGAGCACTATGTAGCTGTTTATTCTAGACACAACTGTTAATATATATCAGTGTTCGAGGACTTTGCAAGAACTTTAAAAAAATATTTGAGTACTAAATAGCCATTTAGTCTAGACGCAGCTGTTCCAGGATTTTTCAAAATTTACATTTCTCTGCACGACGAACTGGTAATATAAAATGTTAGGGAAATTCGTCTACAGATTGCTAATTAGAATTTATTTTTTACTTATTTTAGTTTAATGGTTAAACTTGAACCAAAATATTAAAAAAATACTCAATAGTTACTTCTACTGGTTTAATTTAATAGTAAATAGTGGAAAATTTATTTTAATTAATACTATTTATATTTGTTGCATAAAAATTTTCACAGTTTCCTTACATGTAAACCAAAATTTATTCCAGAACTGATGTACATAATTTAAACGAATTATTTTCAAATTTTTAAAGTTAAAAAAAAATCTGCATATACCGGGTGACACAAGAAGGTGGCAACAGTATATAACTTTTAAACGGCTTGAGAGAGCGATTTGAAATTAGGAATGGCTAATATAGGCAGTAAGACAGTAACTTTCGAATTTTAAACTGCACAACCTATATTTTTTTGCATTTTTGGGTTCAGGAGATCATTCTACAGCGGATAGGACAGTTTTTCTCTTTTTTTTTGTTTTTTTAAGTTTTTGAAAATTGTGTCTAGGAGGCTGTGACCACCATAAATACTATTTACCGGGTCACCTGATCATCGAAAATATTGTTAATGAAACTTTTCTTTACTTGTCTAATGGCAAATAGCATTTAATGTAATTAGCTACAATTTTTCAGTATAATCTTGTTTTTTCAAATTGCACCCTAACGGGAACAAAAACTTTTTAAAATCGGTACTTTTTTGCAACAATTTTCAAAATCTGATAAAAAAATAATCTCACAGGAAGGAAAAAACCAGATAAGTCAATACTTTTTTATGAAAACAAAATATTACTTAGGTGAATTTGCTTCTATTCACTATTAAATATCGTAAGTCGGTAAGATTGAAAATGCAGAAAATACTGTCGACAAGTGGAAAGGAAAAAACAGATTAGTATTTAAAAAATAAACAAAAATTCGTGGGCGTTTCTTCTGAGATTCAACGACTAGAATTTTTTGTTGAAAGTGTTTTATTATGGTAAAAAGTTAATATGCGTTTGAAATACGTGGATATAGTCAAAAAGTAACCTACGTCATAAAATAAAAGCACTTTTTACCGGAAACTCAGAAGAAAAAGAGAATATAATTTTTTTTTCTTTTCAAATCTGTTACTTTTTGGGATAATTGAACACAATATTTTGAAAACACAAAACACACACACACACAAAACTTCACATTCATTTATTTTGGAACTGGAGTTTTGTATTTAGTTGAATTAAATAAGTGCGATTGATATTTACTTATTAACCAATTTATTTTAAGTTGAAACTTTCATAGAATGCTTGTATATGACACTCCCTGGCTCTAGAAATTGCATTCGCTGTAATCCTTCATCAAATGCAGCCGATCTTCGCCACTGTAATTCTTGTAGGTCGAACACTGAAGTTACATAAACACGGCCTTTCTCATACCCCCTAAACAAAAAAATCTAACGGTGTCAAGTCCGGTGACCGTGGGGGCCCATTAGCTTGACCATGTGTTGAGATTAGGTGATCAGTGAAATCTCTAATTATGGGGAGGCGCGCCATCCTGCTGATAATACATACGTAATGTCCCGGCAAGAGGTAAATCATATAACGAGTATTCAATTGCATTTCTTAGGAATTGTAAATATCGTGCACCATACAGTTAAGGCACCATGAAAAAAAATCACTTACAATAATTCACCTTCCTATCATTCACGCCCAAACATTGGTTCCTCACCGTTCTTGAAACTATCCAGGACGAATCATTCTTTGATTATTTAAAAACCAGTATCTGTTGTTCTGTCGGTTAAACATAGCATTATTTGAGAATCGTGACTCATCAGTGAAGAAAATTAAGTTAAGAAAATTATTATTCTCGTCATGTTTATCTAACAGCCAATTACAATATCGAAGTCTTCTTACAAAGTCAGCTTCATAAAGATGTTGATGAAGGTTATACTTCATCATTCATTTCCATTTCTTCACTTATAATAAAATTATCATGTAGATGATTTGGTGGATTTCTCATTTTTAGTTCCAGCTTTCTAAAGAAAGAATGTGCAGGAAGGCGACGTCCCGGATGGCGGGCTGTATACAATGTCGAGAGTTTTTTCTGCATTCCCCGTATATCAAAAACATATCAACTTTTTCTCCATTTGTAAATTGATTATTGTTTTCCATGATAATCCAAGTCGATAACACGACAAAATCGATAATCAGATAAAAATGTACTAACTGTCAGAATTTGCAATCATTCCGACTTATCTGTTTTTTTCCTTCCTATCAGCTTATTTTTTAGTGGATTTTGAAAAAATACCGAGTTAAAAAAGTTGTTGTTCCCACTAGACAAGTAAAGGAAAGTTTCATTTAAAATTTTTCACAGGGTCAGGCGACGCGGACATTAGTATTTATGATGGTCACAGCCTCTTAGACACAATTTTCAAAATTAAACAAAAATTTAAAAAAAAAAACAAAAAAAAAAGTGAGAGAAACCGTCCTATCCTATGATCCGAATACAAAAATGCAAAACAATATTAGTTGTACCCTTTAAAATTCGAAAGTTACTGCCGTTTCCGCTCAAACCGGAAGTGCAATCATCCCAAATTTCATATCGCTATTTCAAGCAGTTTAAAAGTATTCCCACTTTCTTGTGTCACCCGGTATATAAATTTTCGGTGCCACGTATAGCATTTAAGAATAGAATTAAAATATCAATTTTCTATTTGTCAAGCAACACCTGTTAATCTGCTCGAAATTTATTTTTATAGTCTATTCATTTCAATTAGTTTTTCTTCTCATTATACCTGCTCTTTAGGCCTTTTTTTTTAAATTAGGTTTATAATAAAGATATTATTGTTATGTTATTATTTATTTTATTTCACAATATTTTTATTACATTATTTGTAATTATTTTTGGTTGTGCCTTACAAGATATGATTCCCCATACCAAAACGGAACAAATGAAACCCACTCCTTGTCCGCCGGTCGTGTTATTTTCGATTTTCAAAATGGCCATTACTCAGCCGACGTCGTCGAAAATTTATCGTACGTTTCGGTCGGGTTGAAGACGTCCGGAAATGCGGGCAATTAAATCGAGAATTTCCCACTCCGGACAAAACGGGACTGGCCGCGTTATTGCGTTTCCTTCGGGCTATCGCCTCCTTTTTGCCGTTAATGTCGCGAGATAAATCAGTCAGGGGAACAAGAGTATCGGACCGGCCACTTTAAGCAATAGCTTTAGGGAACGAAAAATTAAAAAAAGCACTTCCCTTGTTGGAATCGGGAAGAGCGAGGGCTTGAGTATACGGGGTGTTTAGTAATTGAGTGTCAATACTCCAGAGTGTGAATAACGACAATATTTGGTTAAATAATCAAAATAAAAAAAAATTGGAAAAGAAATTTTTCACTTGTCTAATGGCAAATAGCATTTAATGTAATGAACTATAATTTTTTAGAATAACCTTGTTCCTTCAAATTGCACCCTAGTGGGAACAAAAACTTTTTAAAACCGGTACTTTCTTTGCAACATTTTGACACCAAAATTTTCAAAATCCTTTAAAAAATAACCTCACAGGAAAAAAAACCAGACGGAGCATGCTGTTTTACGTCTTCCTTTATATCATTGCATGTTTAACCCCCTAGAGCATTTGGGAACCAAGTAACATCAAAGGTCAGAACAGCTCCCACTGTTCCAAGAGCTGGAAAAATTCAATACAGCACGTTATAAAAATTGAGGACTCTTTTATCTCTATACAAAACAACATAATTCCTGTTATAGTTAATCTCAATGATGGCGAAACAGACATTTGGAATAAAAATGTAATTATCTGTAGATATTCCTAGATATGAATTTACTGTATATATTTAATGTCATTGTTTTTTCTTAGTGTAATTTAATAAAATTATACCCACCTAAATAAATAAAAAAAATATTATTACCAAAATCTTTGAGAGCCCGTCCCAAATGTTCGGTGGTAAAATACCTACCGGACCCTAAGATTGAGACACTCCTGATTATACATACAGATACATACATTTGTGAACCTAGTTATAGATTTGCAACCAATACTACAAATTTGTATTATAAGTAACAAAATAAAAAAAATCCAGAAAGATAACCTAGTAGATGTTCGGAATTCGTTACGAATAATGTATCCAAGGATATCGTTAAAAGTCGTTGATGAGGTGAAGGATCTAAACTTAAAGCCTGGAAATAACGAACTGTTCTCATGTATTATTATTATTTTATTTAGTATTATTATTTTTGTAGCTAATAGTGAGAGCTGTATGTGTAAATTTAAGACAAGCATTTTGAAGACGCTGCAGGCTAACTTGTTCTATTTGAAGGCCAATACAAGACTACATTACGTCATGAAGTATTGGACAGTATAACTGTTAGTTATAACTTGATTGCTGTGTTTGCAAGTGTGTGGCACTAGAGAATCCGAGGTTTATAGCATGATGTTTAATTTAACTTTTACAGCCACAGCAATAAGCTGCAAAGCGTGCCATTTAAATGAATTTGCCTTGTCCAATTATTTTTGCTTTTTCTTTTCCAAAAGTTGAATAATTTTCGTTCAGTAAAAGAACATGCTTAATTAATGATTATAAGTTGTGTACCGGGTGGTCCAAATAGCGTCAAACTATATCAAACAATATCCTAAATGAAAACAACCTCCCATAGATTGCAACACAACCTATTTAGTAATAGTAATCTGTTTGAGAAAAAGTGGCCAAAAAGCTACACATGAAATCCATATGAAGTACAAGAAATGTGTGCAACTTAAAAAAACATACATGCCAGTTCCAGAAAAGTTCATGGTACATGTGATTCCGAGAATGTAATCTAGTATGGGTTTTCCCTTGATTTCAAACCTCTTGATATTTTTTTTCCAGATTGTGGATGCCCCGTACAACGCCTACCGGTTTCTATTTGTCTCCAATAAAACTGGACGAAAGTATCAATTATCTTATACTTTGGAAGAATAATATTAAGTTCTTTTCAATATTCAAATATATATATATATATATATATATATATATATATATATATATATATATATATATATATATATATATATATATATATATATATATATATATATATATATATATATAATACAATGTTGTCATAGAAACAGAAAATTTTACATAAGAAAAAAGTCGCAGGGATTATTTAAAATCACATATTTTCAAAAAAACATCTTATAACTTTGAAACGGAAACAGATATCCATATGCCATTATTTACCACCAGCCAGCAGCATTACTTTTCGTATCGTTAGAAGAGTTTTCCTATAAAAGTGCCCAATTTGGTCGACTACGTACATTTCGTAAAAACACTTCGAGTGATTTTTCAAAAAAACTTCCAGAGACAACTGTAGTACTATTTACAAAACTTCTGGATTCCTCCTGCATCGGTTTTTGTTGGCTCGAACTTGCTAACGTTTCGCCAATGTTAGCTTCTTCATTTCTCTACTTTTCGCCGTCATCCAAGACGATGTCTATGCCCTTCATTTAGCCCAGCGACTGTCAAACATTATATAACTCGGTACAGAGTAAAATGCGAGCCAGTTTCAGTTAAGACTAAGACAAATAAACTTCTCAGCAGTTAAGAAACACATTCAAGAAACCGGAAATGAGATTTTATTCAATCTATAAGCAACAATACAATCTTAACCGCGACTCAGGATTTACCTTTCAATCAATCATCCGAGACAATGTTTATGCCCGCCATTTAGCTCGGCCCTCTTCAAACAATATATAAGCAGGTACAGAGTAGAATATGAGTTTTTTTTGAGTTTCAGTTAAGTTCAGAAGAAGCTAATTTGATGATTGGCTAAACGTCGGCAAATTCGACTCAACAACAATCAAAGCAGAAGGAATCCAGAAGTTTTGTAAATAATACCTCTAGTAATATGAAAATTACGACAAAAAATTAGCTCCTTTTCTTGCAAATAAGAAAATGCAGCAACGGTCAGTGGTACCGAGGGCTAAAAAAAATATATCCGTTGAGAATGTCGTATGTGTCAAAGTTTCTATACTTTTTTAATCCAGTTTTCGGTTGGCATTTCAAATTTGCCAAGTCAACCTGACAACTTTCACTATTTAGCCCAACGGCATCGCCTTGAAAATTTAAATTTGCCTTTTGATAACTTTTTTGCGCCTTTCCTTAGAGTTCTAGTAATCGCAACTTGCCAAAAATTTCCCTAAATTATAATTTCTTGGCTCGTTTCCATTTCGGATTCAACTTAACGTTAATTTTAAACCACTTCGGCGACGCTTGGCTCTTGGATATTAAAATTTCGTTAAAAGGCGTAAAGCGGCAGCGTTCTCAATATTATTTATTCATAGGCTAGAAGGGTAACCCGCAACCACAATATAAATTGCCATTTTGTGAAGATAAGCTCGGCGTATTAAGTTTAGTAATACACTCTGTCGTGTAAAATGCTTACCCCGAAAGCAAAAGAAATGATTTACATAGAAGCAGAAGCGTAATATTTAAGGCTGCAGAGCCCAACAAATCTCATTTTCGGTGTTTTAATTATAACGAGAAACTTCCTTCGTACCGCGTTGTTACGAATTTATTAAAAATTTACACGACCTTAGAAGAAAATGAGCCCGAGATTTTGTTTACATGTTCTTTAAGAAAATTCGTTATTTGGAAGATTAAATATTGAAACATGGTGTCAAAAATACTTTGATTTTTTCCATTTTAAATATTTCTTTTAACTTTAATATTAATACTTCTAAAACTTCCCAAAACTCCAAGAAATAACTGCGGAGGTAAAAATAACTTTTATATATTTGGAACTTGATTTTTTCTGTTCTGATAAAATTGTGGTAACTCTGGCGATTTAAAAAATTTAAACTTACACGAAAAATTACAACAAACAGTGACTAAGTCGATTTTTATCCCATTTTAGTTAAAATCTGAAGCAGAGACGGAAATACACATTCAGTGCTCCTTGAACAACCCAATTCGCTAAGAATATACACAAAAAGTTTCTTCATAGTTCAAAGAAGATTTAACTGAAGTTTCCACGCAGTATATGAAAGGGCAGTTCTCAGTACCAAATGAGTGGAAACAAGTGGAATATATAGAAGCACAAAGCGGCTATAGAGTGGTCACGTCATGTGCGAAGAATATCTTTCTATATGACAACATATTTAGTGAAGATAAACGGAAACTATCAAATTCATTCCCAACATTAAAAGGCTTGTTGCAGGAATGTTCTTTTCAAAATATATGAATCTTATACTATCAAAAATTGACTAAAGAAATGCTCAAATATGGGGATTCGAGTAAACGACTCTTGTTGTCACCAGTAACGTGACAACAAGGTGGTTATATTAATATACGAGAACCGAATTCCTCGCTAGATATAGAAAATCGAATACATCAAGGACGAAAGGCCATCCAGCAACTAAATTCTATACGGTGGTATAACTCCATCCATGCACAGTGGAAAGAATAATACTATAAATCGCAGTAATATGGGACCTCTCAAAAAAATACAGCTATAAAATGCAGGCGTTAGAAATAGAGTTGTAAAGTTCAACATATCCCCAATACAACAATAATGAAGATAGGTGGCATGGATGAAAAAAGATAAGCTCGAAGAACATGGGCAGAGGGCGTAGAAGGACTCATGCAAAGTAGACAACTATGCTCAGAGGATAACCAGGATAGAAGAAAATGGCGCATTAGTTGTTGTAATTTGATCCGCTGTATACATAAGAACAAGATTTAGATAAACACATTGCATTTATTTTAAGTTTTCATTATATGTTAATTATTAAACAGCAGTCACTAGGTATTAGATCTGAAGCAACGGGTGGTCGTCATTCCAAACCAGTTCATTATGTATCCATTTTTTAAAATGGGTTTTGGCGTTGAATTTGAATATTTTTATTCTGGATAGGCCGACCACGACTCTATCATCCAGTTTCGCGTCGAGCAGTTTTATTTACCTTGCGGCAATCAGTGGTTGAAAATAAGAGACGGCAGGTCCCTATCGGCAAACCTTTTGGCAGACCTCACAGGTGAACCTGGATCCACACCGTCAGTTATAAACTCTACGGGGCCGGATTTGCTCCTCGACTTTTACACGGACGAAGTCACCATCGGAGGACAGTTGTGCGCTGGTGGATTCTTAGCGGAATCGACCCAACTTAGTGAGTGCGAGTGATCATGTTTAACTGTCGATGATTACCCAACATTTATTTTTCAGAAAATGACAAGTATAACATCACACTGATCCCAGTCGCTCAGAGCGTCGGGGTTATACCGGCGGTGGTTTTGAAACTGACGGCCGTTCATATAGCCGCAATATTTTTCTTGAGTGGTCTCATCCTCGCCACGGTTTCGCTGGGAACGCAATATCTGTTTCGCTACAGGAAATATCACATCGCGCAAGCTGAAGACCAAGAGTCACTAGGTGGTAAGAGCTTCATAATATTTCAATTAGAAATTCTGGAAATACATCGATATACATCGATTTCCCTTATTTCAATTATAAACTAATATATCTCAGAACAAAAACCACAGAACATCGAAATAAATAATTTATCATTGGTTCAGTCACGCAGAATTCTTCATAATAGTTGTGTGCAAAGAAGTTGTACCGCTCACTGGGTGCACTAATGGCACATCCACAAAATAATAGTTCCGAGAAAATCAGTGATTTAGGAAAATAAAAACTGTAATACTCTTACTTTGTACTTTATAATTACACATTGATTCGTATTATTTTCTTTTTAGAACAAAAAATATTTATATTAAACACTATATATTATCAATAATAATTTGTGCTAGGCTGGCAGTCTGAATTTTCAATAAATTTTTATTCATATGCATAAGGTAAGAAAATGTACTTTTTTGTCCAATTATGTATATTCCCTGGGAGAACAACGAATATTATTATTATTGTTATTATTGTTAATCTGGAAGACTAAGACTAAGTAAGTAGATAGATTCTTCTTCTTCTTCTTCTTCTGCTGCTGCTGCTGTTGCTGCTACTGCATATCCCTTAACTCTTCTTTATTTCTTGTTATATGTTTAGTTCTTCCATTGTCCTCAGTCCCGTCCACTGTCTGCTGCTCCAAAGCCAAGACATCCTCTACCTGCCGATTCCTCTCTTTCCTTCAATCTTCCCTTTATTTATCAACTATAGGAATTGGTATCTTTCATTGCGTATCACGATCTCATAGTTTGTTTTTCTTGCCATCTATGGAATCTTCAGTATATGTCTGTAGATCCACATCTCGAATGCTTCAACCTTGTTCATATAGCTCACCTTTAGTGTCCATCCCTCCATACCATACAGTAATACAGGCCAGACGTAGCATTTTGTAAATCTGATCGTTAGCTTGAGATCGAGATCGGTATTGGTGAGCACCTTTTTGAATTTCATGAACGCACTTCTGGCATTTTCAATTCGACATCTTATTTCTGTGTCGGATTCCCAGTTTTCACACAGCCACGTTTTATTGATTGATTTTCATGCGTTTTTAAATTCTTCTGGCTTACGAGTTATAGATTATTATTGCAATAGATTTGACTTCAACGCAAGTGACTAGAACATAGAAATGTGCGAACCAGATTAAGTCGTCGCTCATATGCGATAAATATGACTTTTTATTTAAACGTAAAACACAAAACATACCTACGTTTAGTAAAAGCGAGCAGAGTATGTCTTCTTTCCTTCTTTTCCTTTTTAGCTTCCAGCGCGAGTATACCCCTGACCGCTCGCGCCCAATCGAATGCGACCCTCCTATCCGAGGTGATATCGCTGACTAAACTAAGACCTCTGAACATCAAAGTTGGGACAAGTAAGCACGTGCGCCTCAGAGAGTCGATGGATTGCGATCGGGACCAAGAGGAAGTAACATTGGCGTGAGTACAAATTTTTATTATGTTGCTTGTTAACCGGTAATTTTTCGAATACAGTTGAGGGCTTTTCCCTTGTTGGCTTTGAAATCACCCAAAAACCTTGTTGCGAACTTTCCGCAATTTTCCACGCCGCATTAGACAAGCCCGTACAGCTTTAAAGCGCTTCATCGTGCACATTAGGTTTTAGCGGATTTTACGCGCCGCGAACATCTTCAGTTCGAAATCCCTTTAGCGTAATGTCGGCGAGTTATTGATTATAATGGCCTCTGTCAAATTGAAATGTTATAGACAGAGTGTACTAAATTTATATTTTGTTCGGTAGAATTCGAAAAGCAGGTACTAGTAGCTGTCAAAAATTAAACTAAGTTGAAGCTTTTTGAAGCTTAACAAGCTTCAACAGGGCTAGTGTTTTTACCAATGAAATTTTTCTCTGTAAATTGTTAGTATCTAGCAGGTGCTGCTAGTAAGCATATCCAAAAATTACTTTTCATAAACTTCTGGATTGCTCCTGGGTTGGTTTTTGTTGAGTCGAACTGGCTAATGTTTCGCCATTCTGTTGGCTTCTTCAGAGCTTGACTGTAACTGGCTAGCATTTTGCTCTGTACCTGTTTTTATATTGTTTAAGAGGAACGGACCTAAATGAAGGGCATAAACAACGTCTCGGATGGCTGATTCTCTTATTGGTAACTGGTAAATATCTGGGTCGCGGTTAAGATTATTATTATTATCTACAGACGAAAAATCTGAGAGTCTATAGAAATCTATAAGCATCCTAATAATCCTAACCGCGAGTCAGGTCTCTACCTGAAGCAGGAGGAATCCAGAAGTTTTATAAAAAGTACAATAATATAGGTATATCAAATTATTATCAAAACCAATGTTTAATCCCATTGAAATCCCCATTTTGTTAAGCAATTAGGAATGTATTAAATTGATTAAGTTTGATTAAGTATTTGTAATTATTATAGTCGTAAATTTGAGATATTTATTAATAGGTTGCTTATTGATTTCTATAGACTCTTGGATTTTTCGTTGGTAGAAGAATTGATTACATGCAAGAATTTTAGTTTTATCGAAAAAAAATTATGTCCGATTTCATGATTGTGTTAGGCAACCGCTGATGAGTTTATTTTTTTCTTGTTCTTTGAGCCTAATTGACATTTTACGTCCGGTCTCTCCAATGTATTCTTTGACGCATATGCATGGAATGCTGTAAACTCCTGGCATCTCGAATGGAATTTTGTCTTTGATGGATGGAAGATGTTGAGAGATTTTTGGATAAGTGGTAAATCTGGTTTATATTTTTTTAGAACTTTTAATATGTAATCAGTGAAGTTTTGAATTTAAGGAAGGACAATGGTGGCAAGTGTGGGATTGCTTTCATCTTCATTGCTATTGGAAGGTTTTGGTGACGTGTATTTTGTAATGGAATGGTTAATATCTTTAATGTGGAAATTATTAGAGAGAAGAGCGGAGGTAAGGTGTTTTAACTCTGGGTTCAGTGACTCGGGCTGAGATAGTTTTACGGCTCTGCAAACAAGAGAGTTGATAAGCGATGATTTTTGGGCCGGATGGTGATGTGACAATGCATTAAGGTATCGGTTTGTGTGCTTAGGCTTTCGGTAAACACAATGAATGTTAGGTCTAATTTTCTATTGATAAAAATATCTAAGAATTTGAGGTTGTTATTAGTTTCTAATTCAATGGTAAACTGTATGTTAGGGTGCATAGAGTTTAAATGTCAAAGAAAATTTACTAGAGATTCTTGACCATGAGATCAAATGACAAAAGTATCATCGACGTAACATTTCCATAAGTTTGGTTTTAGATGGAAGATGTCGAGGGCTTTCTTCTCAAAGTTTCGATAAATATATATATAAATATGGTAATAGTGGAGAACCCATAATTGCTCCAAATAAATATAACGTCAAAACCAGATTTACCACTTGTCCAAAAATCTCTCAACATCTTCGATTCGACAAAAACAAAATTTCATTTAAGATGCCGAAAAATAAAAGCTAGGTTAAAAGAACATGAAGGAGCCATAAGACAAATAAGCTCTGAAGAAGCCAACAGGATAATTGGCGAAACGTTAGCAAGTTCGACTCAACAAAAACCGACGCAGGAGGAATCTAGAAGTTTTATAAAAACTATTATAAGAGTCTGTGAAAGTTTCTTTGAACAATTTTTTTACGCAGCTTAGCTTCTTAATGTATAATTTTTTTTTCTCTATTCCAATGTGTAAAACAAATTTGACGATAGGAAACGAAATTAGATTTGTTTGGATAGTTTGGAATCTGTAATTCTTTGACTTGTGCTGCTATCTGTGGGTGAACGGCGAAACATTTTAGCTAGATCGTAATCTGTAATTTCGGTATCCCAAGACATCGCAGCCAGATGACCAATACCTACTACTAAATAAATTTATGAAATGGTAACTAATTGCAGAAAAGAGGAGGATTCTCTGAGCGCGAGTACTGCCACCCTGACCGCCCAAAACGACACTACAGCAACAACGGCACCGAATTTGGCGGTTTCGGAGGCGGATGACGTCACCCCCACGGTCAGCTTGCCTACTTCGCCCCATCTGATCGAATGTTATCGATCTATAAGACGATCTTCAACCTCAGCGAGTGAAAAAGATCGATCTACCGAAAAGGGCGGTCCGCCCAAAGGGCTGCCGAAGGCCGTGTTCAGAAGAGTAGGCGACGTAACCTTAACAAACGTGAGCGATGATCTGTGCGGGACGCTGTGCTCTAAGAGTGATCCGGTGAAGTATTTTTTTGCGCTTTGCTATTTTTCGTTGCACTTTTAAAACTCTAATCACTCGCTTCGTTTGATTACTTGCCTATATTTTGAGTTTTCTTCGGGAAAAAATCGGCCGAAACTTTTTTCTGAAATTCTTAATATCTGGTGGCGGAAATGTAATCTTTTTTTCCCCGAGAATTTGGAAGAAAATGAAGTACAAATCAGTCTATCATCACAGTGGAGTTGTTTGAAGGAAACAAAATTATGAATTTTGTAAACCGATTTACTAAACTACACTGAGAGTTTTAAAAAATACTTTTTGAGCGCAGTTTTAGTGGAGAAGTTTCTTCGGTGCGAAGTTGACTACTTTCTATGCCACACTTTTTTCCTATTGTGAGTTTTTTGTATTTTGCATTTTAACTTATTTTTAGATAATTATATGTAGTTACTTTGTTACCTGAAGGTAACCGCTGAAGTGGAGTACTAACCGGTTTCCTTTCTTCCAAAATATAAAGTTATAGCCATCAAAATTTATAATTTGTAAATTTGCTTGTATTTTCATGAAATTAAATCGAGTTTAATTAGGGAGTGCGTAATAATTTTGGTGTGTGGTGATCTAATCCGAAATATTCAAAACACAGGTATGCGGCAGGTGATTATGAATTTAGGGGGTCAGCTATTTCATAGGAATTCGATGAATTTAATAATAAAATTGCCCTAACATTTTATTTTATACGCAAATTGATGAAATGAATGTATGATAGATTCGGATTTAATCTAAATATTTAATTAACTCTCTTCTTAGAGTCCAGGCCTGGTTGGAGAAATATATTGCAGTTATGAAACTTCATGATTCTCCTACATCCAAGAGTATATTTTCAAACTTGGATTCTGTTTGCTTTTTTTTTTTTACTTGACGCCTTTAGGTTTTAGGCTTTTATGTTTGCAATGGCTGCCGCAAATCTCACACCATTTTACACCGTGGGAGAAATTATACCTAACAAAAATTTGAAAATTCAGTATTAAGTAAGCTAATTAAAAAGTTTTTCCTCTCAAAGCATAATTCAATACATACAACACTGCTCTTTTGTCCAAACAAACACGACTGTACAAATTTTGATATTTCAATTATTCTTCTAATTTCTTCAAAAGCGTTAATAAATATAATAAAACTAAACTAAAATGTTAATATTTTATGAACTGAAACTGAAAATATCACATTATAACACCGAATTTTCAGATTTTTTGTCCTAGTATCGTTCTTCAGCCTGAGTTCGAATCTTCACCAGAGCACTGTTCTAGCATCAAATGTGTATTACACTCACTTTTCGGTCAACAGAAATTTTGATTTAGTCATTAAACAGCACTGAACCAATTAAATACAAAATTTTTATAACACCAACAAATTCCGCAGGGTTGCTATTCCTCGGCGTCGAGTATGGTGAGTACGGCGACTATCAGAAGCACCAACGCAAAAGCCACCAAAGACAAACGCAATCGGGAGAAACTGCTGGCTGGCCCGACCGGATCGGAATTTTCCATAGCTGGGCAAGACACCGATCTAGAATTCGATTATTACGATTACAACGTCGTCAACGCTGGCGCAGCTCCCGGATCATATCTGGGAATGGATCCGGCTTTCTTGGTTTGGATCCCGCCGCTGGACGAGTCTGGCGAGATTCTTCCTCCCGAGGACCAAGAATACCACGAGCTCGAAGACATCGCGCCGAAGGTTTACATCGATCCTGGTAGTAACAAGGAGTCGCCGGAAGAAGAGTCGTTACTTCCCAAATCTAGAACTGTTAACGAGGCGAAAACCAAAGTGGTATACCCTTTGGTGCATGGTACCAAGAGAAACCGCGAGGTGATCGACAACAGATACTTGAACGAGGCGGAGCCTTTGGTGAACAACAAGATCGTCGAGATACAGCTGCACGAGTTTCCGAAAAAATTGCGGACGCAGAAATTGTCCAAGATGGACATGGAGAAGGAGACGGAGGTGCAAAAATCACCGAGCATTGACGAGGATGAAATTCGATTTGCAGACGACGACGACGAGGACGACTTAGACTTGAACGAAATGCAGTGCAATAATGAAAACGTGTCATATCAAGATTCAAATGTTTTATCTTCCAGTTAAGACTGATTTTTGTTGCTTGGGGTAATCGCTTGGAATGAAGCGGGATGCATTTGATAATTCTATAGTGAAAAGTATCGCCGCAAGGCCCGTGTGAAATTGAACCATCCCAATATAGTCTCTCCAGAGTTAAAAAAGAGTAAAGAAGATATAATTGCGCTGCCGAATAATGTTGCCATTAATAATCCCTAAGTGGCTGGTTATTTTTTGTGTGGTAAGAATAATGAGTCGGTATCGTTTGCAATAAGGAATCTGTTAAATTAACAATATCTTATAGCTCTTTTATAGAAATGAGGTGACTATAAAGCTTTAGAATTTGTTTAATTGCCCACCAAACATCATTATCGTAGGATCCGATGTATTTCTGCAATCAATATTTGGTTGGTTTAGTAGAACTTTACAATACCAGACAAAACAGTAATTTATTATTCCTCATAATAACATAGCATAAAAAAGTATTAACATTAATAATTTGTTTGAATTTTTTATTGAGACTTACTAAATGTCTTCAATATTACATCTCTTGGAAAATATTTGAATTTGGTTGATTAACCAAGAAGCACCATAATATGTTTCTGTGACATACATAACACTTGAATTTGATACTTAATCATAAAAATTATCAAATTCCAACTGAGCAACCAAATTGCAGTTTTCTGGGTAATTTTCCATGTTAGTTGAATTAATAAACATATTCACGTTTTAACTTCCTTAAATAGAAACAAAATCTTATTTTTGAACGAAAATATATGAAAAATACTGTAACCAAAATCGTATCATCATGGTAACAATGAACATTCGAATTGAAAGCAAAAAAATACTACTAGAGCTGAATTATTTTAGTTTTAAAATAGCGCTCATTGTGTGCAATAGTGATAGATTTGCGAAAATAAAAACTGACACATAGAGGTGACTCATATCAAGTTTCCGACTTATTACAAAATTCATAGTGTTATGTCTTTATAATTGCCTATTGATTTCTATTATTCTCTTTTCAAAACAAAAAGTAATTAACTAAAAATCGCTATTTTTTGATATGCGCCATTATTGCACTCAGTGAGCGATATGTGTTTTTTATTAAATCTCTTTTCATTATATTAACATTATTCTGTAATCGTGGACCACTAGGATATCAAAAACGGCCAGAGATTCAGAATATAAAGGTCGAGTCGTTATAAACCGTGTGCGAGATCTTAATATAGCATCTAAATATGGTACAGCACTGCATATAATAATAATAATATAAGTAATAAATAAATTATAAATAATTATCCGCAAAAAGGGACTAAAGGCAATTCAGAACTGGTCAAAGTTCAGCCCCAAAATTGTGTATAATCGGAAAAACAAGAAAAGATGTCCGCAAAATTATATGTCTAGAAATAAAAGCTAAGTTTAATTATACTAAGATTAGATTTTGAATGAACAAGGGAAGTGATAGAGAAAAAGAAAATATAAAACACAACTTCAGAATTTATTTTATAATTTATGGATAGCGCTATATTAGCGGCCGTGGTTAAACGTTTCAAGGTAGAGTTCTCCAAACAATATAACGTTTTTACGGCATAATCCGGTATTTAACTTTGGTAAATTTTTATGAAGATCTAACAGCAGGCCTACCTCACTTGAGTAACCCTCAATCAATAGATTCGCAATTCCACAATAACATTCCAGAACCGTACTTCGATACTTCGTGTATGCAAATGGTGAAAGCTCACGGATTTGTGTAGAGCTTCATAGGTCAGATTCCGCGATTATCATTAGTCCATGCAGTGAAAAATCCGTTCTTACTACAAAAGGTTTATTATGAATATGAATGACGTAGTAAATTTAACTATAAAAGAATGTTGGAATATTTATTAAAAAAAAAAGTTATTCTTCATCAAAACTTAAAAACAGATATTTTTCTAATTCACTTCTAATTAAATCTATTGCTCCAAAACTAAATTTGGGCGAAGTGTTGTTTCTTCTTGAACTGGGTTTCAGCTCTCCCCCGTATCAGTTCCATCGAATTAACAATTAACAATTAACGGACAACTTTGAATTCCCGCTCCATGGCTGTCGTGGTACTCAACCTTTACTTCTTTGACATCTTATGCAGAAAGGCACAAAGCGTTGTCTACCCAACCAGCTTCAGAACCTGCACATAGTATGATAATTCGTTTGCCCCTCGAAAATTTGTTGCTGTTACCGTTAGTTGATACTTTCTTGACTGTATCGTGGCTACCAAACCAGGTCTCATCTAAATATATGATGAGGACATTCTTAGCACCATTTTCTTGAATTTCTCTCAAATCTCTTGTCATCCACTCCGAAATTCTTCTGTTTTGTAATAAAAACCAATTCTTCTTGCAAACGTAGTCAAAGTCTGTCGGCAACAGTCAATGCTCAAAACACTACGCAACTCTTCATGTAAAATTTTAATTGTTAAAGCGATCTTCTTTTGATATGCATCATATATCAACCGTCTCACTATCCCGGCATGGTGCATGTCAAGTAGACTTTTTGGGACTCCACGATCTTTCCGCATTTTACTTTCTTGGACACCATTCACAACTATGTCACATAATGTGGCATACGGTGTTTTAGTCATCTCGGACTTTAATTTTATGGCTCCACCTTCCTCGAATATCGATTCCAGAAACACAAACATTTAAAATTGTAATTTTAGCAGCAATCGGAAAATGTGTTCTAGTCTTTGATCCATTTCGATTATTACGTCATCGAACACAATCTCAACTTCTTCGTCGCTGGACATCGCATGTGACTAACAAAATTGAATAATGTTGGTATTTGGTAAGAAACTAATTGTAGTAAAATGTATATGGTACCTCAATAAAAGTGGCACACTGAGTCTTGAAAAAGAATTGAATTGAATTGAACAGTAACAAATTACAGGCACAAGACGGAACAGAAATAACTACAAAGCTTCGACGGCTAATAAAATACATAAAACTGACGGTATACTCCGATTACACCAATCTCCACAAATCAACCAATAACAAATTGGGAAAACGTCCATTATACATCAATTATCTATATAAGATTTTGTATTACTTTCCTAGGAAAATATTTTAGAGCAATTATGTTAAACCATTAAATTGGATATCTAAAGTGTTTTTAATATGGGAGATCCACTTATTTAATGGCAAACTGAACTTGAAAATGAGCCACCTCATATAGAGTCTGTTTAGGAAGACTTGCAAAAAGCACACTAATATGAGTTAATATAACAGTTTAATGAAAGAAAATTTCCCTTCCCTGAAAATATAGCGTTACGAACGGCACAGTTCTTTTTCGGCTAACATCTTAAATACGGCCCTGGCTTGTGGTACACGTGCTGAAGAGAATGGTCCCTTTACAACAGGAGTGTCTTAAACTCAAAACCATAAAAAGTTGAAAAACGGTATATCGTTTGAAGAACTCTAATAAATCACTTTTCGACATTTAGACTTCCGATTTCGACAAAATTGCGATCGAGTTGGGCCAAAACTCTAGGTACTTGATTTATAGCGGTGCATCCCGCCGATGTCGGGCAATATTTTGCCGGAAAAAATTGTTGGGCTACACAGTAGGTATCCTGTTGGCCATAAATAAACAAACACGATCAAAAAAATAACTCAGGATTGTGGATACTTTCTAGTATGTAAGCGTAATATGAATGAGACTGAATGTTGGTTACATTTTAAGATACTAGTCACTATTTCTAGTCACCGCTTGTGGGAAGAGTACTATATTTGTGAATAAATTAACTAAGGTTTAGATTAGATGTTAGATGCCTACTCTGTTGTTTTAAAATTTATATTTTCGAGGATTAGAAATTGTTCGTCAAAGATGTATCATTACTATTTTTCGGTAACTGTATAGAGCTGCGAACATTTCGACAGCAAACGGCACCAATTTTGATTTTAATAATTAAATATTTACGTTTTAAATACTATAAAGTACTGTCATAAGAAATCGCTCACTTAATTTGTTCGTGCCAAATAAGAAAGGCAAGCGGCTGTATGACATTCCCAAGAAAAGATGTGGGATATAGACCCGATTGCCTCCCTTATTAATTGGCCGCTCTGTATAGTGCCCAACTTCTGTCGTGCTTTGAATTAAAAGAAGTAATATTTGCTGTACGTTACATATGCTAGTAAGCTTCAGATTAGTTGGCTTACGCAAATTGTTTCATGTTTTCTGTGCCCGTTGCGTTCTAGAGAGGACAAATAGAGATTTTAATAAACAAATTGGTTTTTATAAGGAAGATTTGATTTTTACATGCCCTCTTTAGATGCTCGTTTATAACGGAACGTACGAAACGGGAACCTTTTTGTTGAAGATGTTTAAGGAGGAATAAATTTAATGTGGAATGCTTGTTATTTACCCAACCCCTTCATGTTCAATATCTTCCATTAGGGAAAAATACCACGAAATAATAATAACTTTCTAATGTTGATGAAAAATTACACCAAGCAAAGCAATTCTCTCAACATAGTAAACACAACTTTTGTATTCCCGATTTTGAAACACGAAAATAAACACACAGAATATGAAATAAAGTAAAAGACCGTGGAAGGTAACATAAATAAAACAAAATTGAAAATCGCAATCGAAGAATATTGACAAATCACCAAATCTCCCATAGGGCTTGTCATTTTCTAGTATTGGTTTGTTTGGTTTCTTTTCTCGTTCTCTGCAGAATCCTTTGTAATCGCCCAAAAAAGTTTTCAATTCTGTGGATTTTGTTTCTTAAGTGTTTTGTGAATGTATCCAATCGTTGTCGGCCTAGCTATTTCTGTCATTCGCGCCGGTTAAAGGCCGGATGGGCCCGGATGGTCCGTGGTGGTAGCGGGGGTGGTCGTTTTTTGGTTTCGGTCAAAGTCCTTTTTTGCAAGCCGAGAACAAATGTTTGTTATAGTCTTTTTCATTTGGTGGTCTGTGACCAAAATAAAAATCCTCGGTGGATGCCGGAAAATGGATGTATGACCACGGCAGTCGAGCCCAGCGGACAGCGAAGAATATTTCCCCTCTCTCTCTCTCTCTCGTTGATGCAGATTCTCAAAACATAATTGCAGAAATTTCTTAAATTCACAAAAAAAAACAAAGTAGCGAAGACCATTTTTGGTTGGGCTAAAAAGAGATAATACTGATCTGCTTTCTAGCATGTTGAAAGAAAGACGACACGAGTCGACTCGAAAAGGGAAGTCTCGAAACGTTAAAAGAGGCAAATAAAATTCCAGTAGAATGCAGTAAATAACTTGTTAGTTGAATGTCGGTTGCAAAATTTAACAGAGGAACGTCAGTGCATAAAAAGTTTAGTTCATTGAAACCGAGATCCGAGGGCCTCGATGAACAAATATCGCCAATTTAAATTAGTCGAACTGCAATGAAAATTCTAATCATTGCTTCAATCCAGATTTGCCAGGCCAATTAGCTTATTTGAATCACCCCAAGCAATAAACTAAAAAAATACCGCTCTCTAGAGCGTCGCTCCAAATATATATTAAAAGGGGTGATTTAGTATAACTAATTGATATTTTCGGTTAATGGTACCCATTTTATTAACTGGGTCATGTCTATTTCAGTTTCCATGGATGGTAACATATGTCTCCTTCAAAATTAAATTAAATTTAAATGCTTCCCAATTGTTCCGTTGCATAAGTAAGTATAAAGCCATAAAGAAATTTAATATAAAAGTGAAAACCTAAAACATTTTTATATAATTATTAAAATAATCACCGCTTTGGATGGATACTGCTTTAGAGCTACATGGGATTTTTAAATTTAGACGCCTTCCGATTATTCTCTTCCGTTAGTCTAGACTTAAATAAAGGGAACAAAAAAATTAACATACATGTGAAACCCTTATATCTTCACGTAAATCAAACTAAAAATTTGTTGTATAAGTGGCGCCATCTAGGGTCATTTTTAAGGGTTATATTACCGGCAGAAAGTTTCAGTTTATGTGGGGGTCGAACCGAACAAGGTGGCACACTTTTTAATGTATGTACAAGCCGCGAAGAAATAAAGCTCTTTTAGAACGTACGTTAATTGGATACAATCAATTAAGTATATATCGGTGCGATTATACGACAAAATTAACCCCCATCTAGGGAGCGTCGCACCAAACCGATTTTAAAAGCGAGGGATGGTTTGGATGGATACTGCTGTTAAATTTAGGTTTAAGGGTTTTAAATAGGATTTTTTAGCTCAACTCGCGTGCTTTCGGTTAATTTTATTAACTGAGGTATGTCCATTTCAGTTTTCATGGATGCTAACATATGTTTTGTTCAAAATTAAATTAAATGTAAAAGCTTTTCGGTTATTCTTTTTTATAGTTTTTCCTTTTCTAAGTCTAGTCTAGTCTAAATTAATACAAATGTGAAACCCTAAATTCTTTATAGAAATTAAACCAAAAAACACTGTCATCTAGGGAGCAACCCACCAAATCTATTTCAAAATCGAGGGATAATTTGGAGGGATTGCTATTAGGGCAACCACTCGGCACTAGATGGTGGCACGGGTTTTAAATTTTTGTTTTCAAAAAATACTACGGAATTGCTAGAAAGTTAAAACAATGGGGTTTTTAAGTATAACTTATGCTTTAAAACAACTCATTTTCATTTAATACAACATATTATTACTGGATTATGTCTATTTTAGTTTCAATGGAGCGTAATATAGCTCTCCTTTAAAATACAATTAAATTTAAATTCTTTCAGATTATTCTCTTCCAAAAAATTTGCTATAAATGTGAGACCCTAAAATCGATATGCAAATTATCAATCAAACAAAATCGCAATATTCATATATTTCTATTCCATCACCAATTTGTTACAAGTTTTCAAATCGTGCACAAAACCAAATAAACCACTAAAAATTAGGTCACAAACCCACTGCCCTTCAAAAAAACTTGTGCAGATATGAAAAATAGGTATTATGTTGTTCCATTTGAGTTTGAGAAAACTTTTTTGTAAATCGCCATGCCAGATATAAAAATTAAGTTTGTTTTGCGATCTTCTGGTGATGAAGTGATGAATTTTATGGACAAGAACAAGGACATCAGTAACACCAATTTCAATTATGATAATAAATTGCAATTAGAATCGTTTGTAAACTTGCGAAATCATCATACAACATTACCACGTTATAGAACATCTGATTTGCAGATCATGCGGATTTGCATGACGAAGCCAATAGTGGTCGTATGAAAAATGTCGAATCGCATGCCGAAAATTTCATTTAATGAAACCGTACACAAAGGCGTAGAAGCGGCTCGTCGAGGGGTGGCAGATGACACCCTTAGTCAGTCCTCGAATCTTCGTATTGTAATGATAATTTCCTTTATCGAAAATTGCACAAATAACTTGTGCGTTTAGGTAACCACTCGAGTGGGATGAGCGTTCGTTGATTTATTAAAATAAATTATTGCGGTTTTAGTCGTGGTAAACGAATAGAAGCAAATGGAAATTTTTCCCATATGCGAGGAATTCTAATACGGGAAAGCCCGACATTAAAATCGATAGTTTGTCAACATTGAAATCGCATTTTCGCTAGGCAAACAGGTGAAAATTAATATCTAAAAACACCTGAAAAAATATCACTCGGATGTTTTCACGCAATACGTTTATGTGTTTGCAAACCTTCGATATATTTTAATCTGGTATATACAGTGTTTAATTTTTCGTGGGAGAATATCAATTTTCCTATTTCAAATAGAACACCTAGTATATTACTTCATTTTTTAATTCTATACAAAATTCTATACAAGTATAACCGTTTTTGAGATTTTTAATTTTTTATGCGAAAAATGATCTATAGTGCGCATTTAAATGAGTGCCATCCGGCTGCCAATTTTCAATAACAAGAATTTAAATTCTGATCAAAAAATACTGGACCTATAATCTTGAACCTCCAAATTGCGCAACTTACTTTGATAGAAGTTCTACCTGATCTAGTAACTTCCATATGTTTTTATTATTCGTGTTGCTCCAGTCCCAATAATATTAGCAAATATCTATTCTGAAAATTGTCTCTCCATAAAATTGTTGCAAAATTCTAACCTGATGTTGTAATCCTGTTGCTCTAATTTCTGCACTAGACAAAATTTATAGGACCTGCAGTTGTTCATTTGAAGGCACGTTCGAAGCGAAGTTCTTTTGATATAACAAAATATTAAGTTGCTCTTCATTTTTCAAAATATGACGACGTCGATTTTTTTCTTAACAGCCAGAGTCCGGTTTTTATTGTTCGATATATAAATTTCTAACATATCAATGTTTTCCTCTATAGTAAACATGATACGCAAGCAAGCGAATAAATTATAATAATAATGTGCCTAAAAATATTTGAATTATGAGAGTAATCAACAACAAAACACGCGTCCATGGAGGCAGCGTTCTAGCACTTGTTTTATTTAAACGCCGTCAGAGCCAACGCTAACTGAACTTATATGGCAACAGTATATTATTTGTGATAGGCAAATGTTTAAAAGGAAATATTTCAAAAAGTAAAAATATTAGGCACATACAAAGTCATATAAAATTGCCTTAATTTTTAATGCTAAATATGATAAAATTATAGAAATAGGTAGTTTCCATTTAAAAATAAAAGTTATTTGGCCATTTCTATGATTTCATTTTTAATCTTATTTTTCGCGTCCGTTATTCCACTCCTTTGTCTACAACATAACAAAAACGGTTACACTTAGGTATAGGACATTATACACAAAATATGTCTAGAATTTTATATAGATGTTTCATTTAAAATAAAAAAGTTGATATAATCCAACGAAAAAGTATACCGTGTATATACCAAATTAAAATACATTGAAGGTTTGTAATACCTCAATTAACTTTTGTATTTAACTTTTGCCTATGGTTTCTGAGATATAGTAGTGTCACAAGATAAACGGCCCATGAGATATTTGAGTAGTTATTTTATTAAAGTATTCTCTCTCTCTATCTCTAGTCTCTAATTTCTATGCAAATTTTTATTACTATCACTTTGGTATCTTCCATAATTATTTACATTTCCTATTTTATAGGTTGCGCGGTTTGTACGGCAACAACAGGCAACGTTGCCGTTTGTATATTCTTTTTCCAGAAGATATATATTGCCTCAAAAGAAAATACAAGAGCAATTTGTTGAATTATTCAAAAACTACTTTTGATGGCCGTCGCTATTGAAATATCATTTTCTACTAGCGTCTCTAACGATTTTCAGTCTAGCGAAAGACTGACTAAGTATTTAATTAAATAAACTGTCGATTCATCCACCGTATGTCGTGCCACGTGATCCGGCGTACTTAGTAAGTGTGGTTCCGACAAATGACGTATTATCTAATTCATTGGTCCTTGATATA